GCTTAGAAAGGAAGTTTGGGTCGGTTCTTGCAAGATCTTTGAGTTCCTGACAAACGAGAAGTCGATTCTGCTTCTGGTCCTCAGACAGGATGTGTCGCATGTGGAGTTCTTCCTTTAGAATCAGCTGACAGGTCCCATAGCCTATCCCAGCAATGTCGCACAAGTCGTTGATGGTACGACGTCGATCTTCGTGAATGGCCTGCCGAATCTTGGTAACATTTTCGGGCGTTGTGCTCGAAGATGGTCGTCCAGAACGCTCGTCATCATCGACAGAGGATCGGCCATTTTTAAAACGTGAATGCCACACAAAAGTTTGTGCACGACCCATTGCGGACTCCCCAAATGCTTGCTTTAGCATTTCATAGGTTTCCGTAGCCGTTTTGGCGAGTCTTTGACAAAATTTGATGCACACGCCATTCCGAAATCGCAGGAGGGTCGGTGTAATGCACTACCAAAACGCCCGTAACTAAGAAACAAATGCTAATTCGATGATGCCGGCTGGCACACTGATTCACTATGAATGTAGGAAGCTCGTACTACATCCGGTTCGCCCTCTATCGACACAGTCTTGAAACTTTCCGATCGCACCTCGTACAAAACCATGTCTTAATAAAATCTTTTCCATAGTCTTGCGAAAAGCGATCACCTGCTCTTAAGTCACTAACTGTTTTCGCTTTTCGACAGGACTTCGCAGTACATGCGACATTGAACTGTTGATATTAAACTCGACTGAAGACGAGAGTTGGTGCGCGATCAAACGCCATCGAGGGTTAACGAGATGTATGAATTCAGTCACTTTTTATTTAATAGAATACAGCACGTTTTGTAGCACTTGGCGTGTCGAAAAACTTCGGTTTCGTTCGCAACAAGGTGTTCAAAAAGTTCCAGAAATTTGTCTTCAGAATTATGAGACAGAGATAAAAATGAAGGTTTTCAGGCTGGGCGTGAAAAGCGAATCTTGAAAAACGTCAAGACATGAAATGCGAACTTTCAGGCATTCCCGCAGAAATGGAATTGATCAGAAACACCAGACCTAAATCCCATCTTCCGGGGATCGAGACCCATACATTATAATACAAAGTAGTAATTACACATCATTACATAAAAGTATAATGTGAAATAACATTGTAAGTTTTGTTATTTCTGGAAGGGAATACCGGAACGTAGTGGTGAAGGTTAAGACAGCAAAATCGACTGACGGACAGAAAATGTTTAATGCATACATTATACTGCAACTTTACGGAAACTGCAAGGCTAGAAAGCTAAAAGCAGATTTCGTATGTCACGGAAAGTCGCAGTCAGCCTTTGTTCCTGACATTTCTGCTATTCAGGCTAACACTTAAAAACAAACAATTGAAAGTAATCTCTCTTACTTTCGTGGTTCAACGGTAAGCAACACAATGGAATACAGCATAAGTAATAATAAAAAAAATGCATCGTTAGCCAGCTGCAGGCAGCCAGACATTAGCAGCGTTGTGCTCAAGGAAAGGTTAGGTTAGGTTGGGTTGGGTTAAGTTAGATTAGGATATATTGGGTTACGCTAGGATGGGTTGGGCTGTGCCATGGAGAGTTCCTATGGTGTACCTCGTGTGGTCCTGGAGTGGAGTGGAAATGTCCTCAATTGATCCAGGAGAGGTTCAGGCAGGTTGTAGTGTGGTATTCAAGAGGTCCTGCAGAAGTCCTGAAGAGATTCTGGAAAAGTCCTAGAGTGTTCCTCTGTTGGTCCTGGGTGGTCCTCCGGAAGTCCTAGGCCGGTCCTGTAGAGGCCCTGGAGAAGACCTGGAAGGGTCCTGGGGAGATTCTGGAGAGGTCCTTGGTCCGTCTTGTTGAGGTCCAGGAGTGGTCCGGTGGAGTTCCTAGAGTGGTACTGGAGAAGTCCGAGAGAGGTCCTAGAAAACTCCTGTGATGTTCCTAGGCGTTCCTGAAGTGGTTCTTCGGAGGTCCAGAACAGGTCCTTTGGCGTTTCACGGGTGGTCCTGGAGAAGTCCTAGGGTGTTCCTCGGGAGATCCTGGATAGATACTAGGTCGGTCTTGGAGAAGACCTGGATGGGTCCTGGATAAATTATGGAGAGGTCCTTGCTTTGTCTTGGTGAGGATCTGAAGAGGTCCTGGGGCGTCAGGTGGAGATCCTGGATTGCTACTGGACAAGTCCTAGAGAGGTCCTAAGGTGTTCCTTCAGATTCTCTACGGCGGTCCTGAGGAAGTCCTGGAGATATCCTGAAGTGGTAGGTTATATTTGGTTTGGTTCAGTTAGGTTGGATGAGGTCAGGCTGGGATGTTTGTTTATGTTACACAAGGTTAGATTGGGTTAGTTTGCGTTGGGTTGGATTGCGTTAGGTTAGGTTGAGTTATGTTAGGTCAATTTAGGTCAGGCTAAGTTCAAGTTGGATCAAGTGGGAGATACGAAGATAAGACCTAATGTCACTGCATGTGCTCATAAACTCTGCTAAGAATTATAGCGCATCCATTTCAAATGATGATCAGGCATGCTACTGTAAACATTTGCAGTCTTCAGTCGAACGTTAAAGGGACAAGGACAGACAGCTACCGGATGTGACAGCATTAATGTTGTGTTGGATCCAGAAACAATGACAGCGACGACTGATGTTATAAATCAGAATCGAAATTGGACCAGTCGTTTTGAGAACGGGAATGCAGTAAGTCTAATTACTATGTTCAGAGTGTTTAATGCCATCAATGCTTTAAAATAAAATCATGTGTCTTCCTCTACCACGCTTGTAGATATCACCATATGACTAGCGTAACTTTTCTTGCAAAGCTCTACTGATCTTCATCAGTAAATATTGTACGAAATTGTCATCCAGAATCATTGGGATCGACAAAATATCCACAACACAAAATGGAAAAACCTCACGAAAATGAGGACAAATTCACCGGACAGGGTTTGTACGTATAGTCTCGTTCCTCACTTCCGTGGTTTTACATTTCCTGAGCATGCACATTTTAGGGCATGACAAAATCACTGAGGCCAAGGAAAGAAGCCTGAAGTATCTACCCCCTCCGAACATCACTCGAGTTTTTACGAGTACCTTCGCCTGTGTACTCGACTGCATTTCTTACCAGCCGTCTATCCATTCGCTACGAACAAGCGCCTTGGGTTGGCTGGCATAAGCCAGGGGGGCCCTAGAGGCATACAGCAAGAGGCAGAGAGGGCGAAGCCTGGACAACCTTAACCCCCACCATCCACCCCAAGTATTTCCGAGGCCTCGGTACAGTCTCCCCTTCCTCCGCAAATATCACCCCAGCGTTTACAACACACTCCTCCATCACCGCTTCTGAGAACTTAAGGAGTTCAAGTCTCGGAGGTTCGATCTGTTCTGACCCCTTCACCGCCGTCATATTCATTCCAGATACAAGTGGTTGCAGATCAGTTGTTCCCGAATCCCTGACCCAGACACTATTAAACAACGTATCCCTAAACGTTTGCTAGCAATTAGTGACTATTGTGATATCAGTTTCCGGCTGTTGGCTGACGTGTCATCGCAATGAAGAGCAGGACAACCATTGGTCTCCTGCAGGCAATTACTACGACACTCATCTTTCTGTTTCTGATGTACCAGCAGGCGGAGAGTATTGGGTTTTCTGAACAGCAGAAAACAGCTCGTTTAACTACTTTCGGGAATCAGAACGCGGGTTCCCGAAATCAGTCGACACCACATCACGTGCAAAGTAAGTCTCAATGGAAAACAGTGTCGTGACTTCATGTCGCATAGTATCGACATGAACGTACGGCATGTTAATAACAAAACCCAATAGCTTAAGAAATATACTTATAAAATCGGAATGTTTAAAGAACGGACGGACTAACTTACCCAATACTAGATCTCGTTATCCTTCTACAGGTAGGATATTTCAAACGAAACAATTTCATGTATTTAGTTCCCCACTGACGATTTCAAAGTATTTTTCGACCACTACTAATAACAGTCAATTATTTTTCCCTTGTTATATATCAGTTATATAAATGCAGTTTTCCCTCGGTCCTCCATTAAAGCTATTATTTTTGTGGAACTGAGACAAAAGTGGTTTGAAAAGTTATACGCCTCAATGAACTCGTTATAACTGGCTGTTTTAACATTCAAAAAAGTATTAGGTATACCAGTTTCAGTGATTCTTTAATACAAAATTTGCCCCAGTTTATTCTTTTCTCCCTAAATACCATAATTTAGCGTCTGTCTGAATTCTCCCACAAAATATTCTGAAGAGGTATTGTCTACATTCTTAATAAGTCAGCACTGTTTTCTAATGATTGATGTTACTCAGTTAAATACGTATCATATAGACAACGAACTTAGAACTGTGTAGTCACAGATTTAACTCATCTGAAATTGTAGAACCACAATACTGATTTTGAGAATTAAAGAGTGAAATTCGTGCATTTGTTTTCACTAACTCCACGGAACTGAGTCCTTGAGAAGGCAAAAATCGCTCACTTAATCACGAAATTTCCCGCCTTTAATGGAATCCTAAGACGCATCATCGCCTTCACATGAGCAAGGCACAGTATCATGTCAGTCGAATCAAGTCCACGTACTTACATTCCGTTCCTTCAAAATATATTTTAATAGTATTCACGTAACTAATCCAGGGTTTTCTAAATGATCAGATCAATTCATGTTACCCGACTGATCTCTGTATGTATTTCTCATCGCTCCCATGCATGCTACATGTCCCGACCACTCCACACTTCTTTGATTTGATAACCCTAATAAGATGTGGTGAAAAGTACAAATTATTAATCCCACGAATCTGGTTCCGGTAACCGTCTATCCTACTTGATTTTCGGCAGTCCCTCCATGCACCTACTAGGATACGACCACTTTCTTCAGCGTCCATTCAAACTGATCATTAACAGTCTCTCTACACGCTACATAATCTATGCAGTCGATAAGGAATCTTTAAATAAATTAATATTCGATGAAATAGAAGCACAGGCGCACGAAATTCTTACAAACCACGTGTCCGAAGAATGAATGTACCGACGACCCGGACGTTGGGAAAATAATGTCCATCCGTGTAACATTTAAAGGAGACTTTGTTCTGCTCACAGAACGTGCAGAACCAACCGTTTCGATACGATTGCGTGAGATGTCAGAGACTTCTTATATAACACTGCACCATTCCTGTCGAAACTGTTCACATCAAATGTGATAATCTTAGTAACTATACTAAATTATCAGCAAATATAAATATGTTGAATAAGTGGTTTTATTTTTAAAAACATTAGACTTACTGAAAGATTAAAATGTATATAATTATAATTTTGCTTTGTATGGGTGTGAAACTTGGTCTCATGGACCTAACACGATGTAAAAGAAAGTTCCAGAAAACAAATGAGATTACATGATCTCACGGACACGAGTTTTAACATGGCTGTCACACCATGTATGATGACAGAGGCAGTAAGCTTTCCTGAAAAGTCGGTCAGTATCTATTAGACTACACAATGCAACATCACAGGAGGCACCCATCTTCTGGAGAAAATAAAATTACATTGACATAAACAACAGCTTCAATAATTTGTATTCTTTCCTCAATATTAGAGGACGAGGAAGATCGAATAAGGAGGACGATATGGATGAGGCATGTAACAAGCATGGAAAAGATAAGAAACGCATACAAAATTTTAGTTGGAAGAAATGATTTGGAGGGAAATATTAAAACAGATTTTAAACAGGGTTGTAAGATAAGTATTTGATTTGTCTGACAGAGAATATGGACCACAGGATATGTGAACACGATAATAAACCTTTGTGTTCCACAAAAGACAGGGAATTTTTCAACTAGCTGAGAGACTATCAATTTCTCGGAAGGAGGGCTCAATGGAGTTACTTCTAAATCACACTATTCTGTTTTGGCTTAGGCACATGTAGTTCATGTGTCCAGCATTCTGGTAATATCACTTACTAACATCTAAAAATTGGTAAAGGCGTTGTTTAATCTGTAATACTCTCTTCTGATCTGAATAGTTTCAGGAAAAGAATGTAGGAGCAACATAGACTGTGCAGGAATTGCAAACACAACATGCATGAAGCATCCCGATGACACAAAATTGCGCTGTCTTTGTGGCGAGAAGAAGTCTCCACTGAATGGTGCTTGTCACCACTCAAAACAAGGTAAGATCGTCCATCGGCCCTGCTTTTAGATGTAGTGTGCCCCTGACTTTTAGGAACACATTAACTTCACAAAAACACTTCCTTGAATGCCCCCTTTACTGTAGTGTTCCACAAATTTTCTTCACTTGTCGCAAACTATGCACGGCCATAAATATATGTCTACATATAAATTGCCTTTTTCTAACAAATAAATGTGAATATACGATTTCTTATAAAAATTCGCAGCACACCTGAAACTTTGTGGCAACACATTGCTTGCAGAACACTGCTTCAGCGGACCACAAACTTATAAATGAGGACAATTTACCGAAATGCCACGACAGTTTGTATTTAAATGCTACTGAATCAGGCTTACTATTACAAACAGGTTTACACACTGCTACATCATTTTATCCAACAAAAGCAGTTGTTACTGAGATATCTGACATTGTTTTTGCTTGTGAGTGTCTCTTTCCCAATTTGAATTTTGTTATCAGTAATACATATCCTACTTCACAAAACACATTATGTAGCCACATATGACCCACAGGTTGATAACCCCTAGTTTAAAATATCAGTAGGTCCTAAAGTAGCATTTAGCTGACTTCATACCATTGCCTGCCTAGGCAGGAAAATAAATGTTTTATTTAAAACACATATGAATTAACAATAAATAAACACAGAGGCCACTGTGATGTGCAAAACTGCACAGAACGCATTTGGGGGATAGACATATAGGCTTACTCAAATTTTTGTTAACGCCATTCCACCTATGTTATTGACCCTTCATAAAAAAATTTGACTCCGATTTGAAGTCCATTGCTTTGTAGGATTTAATTTGAGGTTTTCGTCGTGGTGAGTCTCAAGATTGCTTTGTGACCAGTTTATATTTTTCTTCGCAGGCCTTCACCTTAAATGCAATGAGGACGAAGACTGCATATCAGGTGCAACATGTAAGACTCCAACCAACAGCTCAGCCAGTTCCAACATAGCTAGGACATGTGAGTGCAAGGAAGATTTTGCAGAAGATGATTATGAATGCAGCAGTAAGTACTGTCACGAGTTTTCAAGAGAAAATATGCTTTATGTTGATATGTACATCTTCCAACATATGGAAGTACAGCACAATGCAGGGCCATTTAAGACAGCATTCCTAAAACCACTTTTCAAAATCCAGCTACCATTACAAATTTAGAGATTAATCAACCACATAATTTTTATGGCCAAAGAGTTTAAACATATTTTATGTACTGCTAAAACTGGTATTAGTAAATAAAAACTAAACTTTTATTACAAATAATATCTACTATCTTTTAAGAACCTGACAATGGACAAAATCCAGAAATCCAATAATACTAATTGTCCATAATCTTTTGCTATATGTAGAAATGCATTTTTGGACCTTAACCATCTTAACTTCTGATGTGAACAAAATCTTCTGAATAAAAGTTACACTGAGAATACATATGCTGTCTCAGCAATATTTACAAAATATTTGTTTTCAAGAAAACCACTAATATAGCCCTAATAAAAGTGTCTATTAATTATATGGTATTGGAAATGCTGTCTAACCTCCTATTACATCCTGGCATATTATAACAGGTATGCTCAATTTATAACATTCTAATAACCACCCAAATATGTAACAAACAGACATCATGCATAAACCAAACTAGCCTTCTTAATGCCACCACAACTTTGCCCATCCTTCTACTTTACTTCTGGAAACCTTTCAACTTGAATGAGGTTATGTTGAAATCTCAGTCTCTGGATATCATAACTGCAATTTCTTTATAGGTTATTAGTTGCTTTAACAATTCAAATCACAAAGATCTATAAATAATATTTGAAAATTCAGTTCCAACCTCAAAGAAAAATCATATCTCCATGGCAATGTTAATTGGCTAATGCTGGTTATGAAAATAAATGATGTTCATTCTGAGAAAAACAGGAAACATAAATACTCTGGGTAAAATGCAATGTTACTGACCTAAAAATGTACATACAGCCTCTACTGTGATCTCTAGGAATAACACAGAATTTTTATGTTGAAGAGTCATGAAGTACACTAATGCATAAGTTATTCATAAAAAGACACAATTTTATTCACGAGACATAGTCCCCTTTTCCCCTCAAATTTGTAACTGTACCAACAAAGAGTATCATATATGAAAGCAGTTTCTCAGAATTAAATTAAATTTCTGATGTGAAAGGGTAAGTGCTGGTTTATAAAAAGGACACAGTTAATTTAATTATTTTACTTCTAGCAATTATAATCACTAAATGAGATGTAGCATGAAACACTTGCAGTTTATTTAAGAAAGATATCATGTAAAATCATCCTCAACTCTGATTGGTCCTTAAACTGTGGGAAGTTTCCCAGATTTACACTAAAAGAAGTGTTGTATCAATGAGTTTGCCAGGATTCTTAAACAGTGGCATCACATCCAGTGAACAAGGTAACAATGACCTGATTCAAATTTTCATTTACTTCTATTTTTATTTCCAGCATGAATTCTTATGAAGCAAAACACTAAGCCACTCAAAATTATATAACCGCAAGTATCAACACCTTACAGGCTGGCTACACCACTGCAGCAGGGGAGGGGAGCTTGTGACATTACTGTATCAAAAAATACTTCTCATAAGAAAAGCGTAATATCTCAACTGCCCCATACCACAAATTCATTAGAATTATTCATTTACGTTCGTTATTCACTTGTAAAGGTCTGTTTATTTCATCATCATAACCTATGGCAGAGGCCAGCAACCTTTTCAATATTCAAGGCCATATACACAATTTTTGTTTTATTAAAATCTCTTTTTCTTTTTTTGGATTATTTGTTCTTACCTTTTTTCAATGTAGAAAGTTGTTACCCTTCTCACACTGGTGAATTCCCAATTCATGTCAGAGGCTGAATAAAAATGTAATCTATTGCCACATATGGCTCATGGGCTGCCAACACCTGACTTAATGGCATGTATATGTTAATTGGCTTCTTGATACATACTGTGTAAAATAAACCTTTCAACACTACATAATGCAAAGTACTGAGAACAACATTAAATATCCCACAAATAAAATAAATAAAAGAACTGTTTAAACTGATCTGTGATGCATGGCATCAAATACTGTTAAAACAATGTAATACAAAAGTTGTATCTTATTTCAGGAGGTATCCTCACAACAGTTCCATGTACTGATGCTGCCTTTCTTCTATTATTCTATCCACTTCTACAATTAATGCACTGAAGTACTGCAGTTTGTTCCAATGAATAAACAACAGACAATGTGAGGTTATAAAGAGCTTATGCACATATCAATGTTTTATAGAAGCCTCTTTTCTGTTTTATAAATTTAACAATTAAGTGTTTGATATGAAATTACTGTAAGATATGATACAAACTGAGAAAGAATATAGCTGGAGGAAATATTTCTATTCGTTGAGATGGGATGTCAACAGATTATACAAAGGGAAATTTTCTGCTAACTCTTCCTAAGATGAAAATGTATAAAGATATCTGAGGCAGATAGAACATATCTGAATTACATCAATCAGGCTCTGTGAGACTTCAGACAGCCTTGCAAGAAGCACTTAATTTTTTAATTAAAAGGTGCCTATGTATACGAAATGTTGTTATATGCAGGTTTTTATATGGAGTTAATGATATTAATCATTAGAAAGATATCCAAACAGTTATTTCCATTTTAAACATAAACTGATGTAAATTACTATAACAACCTATCACCTGCTTTTATATGCTGTAAAAGTTGTTCCAATACAAACCAATACACTCATTATTACTGCAAAAAAATATTTTAACACCATTCTCAATTGCTTCATACTTGTATGGAAATGATTAAAATTATGTTCACATCTTGAAGTGGTAAGATTTCACTACAGCAAGTTTGTCAATATTTATTTTATATCCTGATATACAAAAAACACAATTATAAAGTATTGCTAGTCTAAAAATATCACCATCAAAACATTAAATTTTAAATTGGTTTAAATACTGAGCTAGTGTATACATAATTGTAATGTATGTGTATATATGTGCTAGTAAACATAAAAATTCTATGGTGGAAATTGCTACATTAAATATATAGGAAGATCTGCATATTTTTCTCACCATAGTAGTATAAACCTAGCACATAATGTTCAATGTTTGTACTGTAAAAATTGAAATACTGTCAATTTATGTATCTATACTTAATGTTTAATAAAGCACTGAAGAAATATTTGATACATACTTAGCTTTCTGGTTTAAACAGTACAGATTTATGTTAAATACAAACAGTGTCTTATATAAAACACAATTCAGTACAAAAAAATCCACACTTTTTTTCCCATTTATAACTTGTTTTATTTAATATTTTAATGTTGTCTCCTTCTTAAGCTTAGCTGTTTTCTTCAATTTGTAGACCTAAACTGGTCTCCAATCTCTGCAACATCTTTTGAAGAATTGGAATTGGACATGTCCTGTAAATACAAATCTTCAACAACTAACTCTATGGAGCAGAATCCTTCTTGGAAACCAATCAGTCACTTAGCTAGTCAAGTTTATCCCCACCTTCTACTGAACACAAACACTTCTTACCACATAAACAGAAATCTGCCACAGGACCCCTAGCCTCAGCCACATTCATAAGGCAGCCCTATTTCTTTGACGTCCATTTTAATATTCTACTACCAGCGTACAAAAAGCAGTAGGCAACTGACAAAGCAGAAGGCCGCTGAGGCTAGGTAATGTAAGAATTTAGGCTTAAAGCATTCTTGTAACATTTCCATTTTTTAAGATGTGATTTTATTTTATTTTTGTTTCATATTCTTCAGACCAAGGCAATTTACCAATAAAGGTGTTCCATTTTAAACAGACTTCAACATGTATGTTTATCTAAATAAAATTAAGTAATACAACTCACCTTCATAAAAAACTATTATTTCTTTAGCAAAACAAGTGAAGTAAATAGGTTTCCTGTTTTGTCACCAAATTTGAATGTTGGTGATGGTATTACATCAAAAAGGCAGAATTCTGAAAGCATAGAAGATTACAACAATGGCATTTGTTATCATAATCAACAATAAATGATTTTGTATAGCTATCAACTCTAACTTGAAAAATTACTTTGACAAATTTTAATGAAAAATGAAGTTTGCTGCTTTCACATTTCCATTTTAAGGAACACTTTACTTATGGGCATACTTCAACCTTTATACATACCTTTAGAGCCATTTAAGAAAGTGTGATGAAATACAATAGACAGCATTCCTACATTATGAAAGGGCCACTTTATCTAAGTGAATAAAACTGTATTAACTTTAATTTATTTGATGGTCTACTTTTCTTAATGTCCTTAAACACATATCATTTGACAAATGTTGCTGAAACTGGTAAACAGCATATAAATCGGTACCAGCAAATGTGCCCATGAAATCTCACAAATTAATTTAATTGTAACATTTGCAAAGGCTAATTATTCACAAAAACTACAGCTGCCCTGATGTTCATCAAAATGGTTGGCCCTCTACTAAGTATTTCACCCTTTGTTATATGTTAATTTATGGTTTCTGAGAGGTCACAGACAGCAAAAGCAAGGAGCATAGATGTGAAATGTCAACAATAGTGAAATTAATCTAATACTAAATAATTTAAAATAAATTATTTAAAAGTTTTCAGAACTGTCAACTGCTTCTTTTACTTTTTTGTTAGAGTATGATGTTAGGGGGAAAAGTGCTGATAATACTCCATAAAACCTTTTCTTTACCTTGTCACAGAACACCTTCCAAGTCCACATAATTTCAAACAATGTCCCTTTTCATAATAACTCTAAATCCAATTTATAATGTTATTCCTGTGATCACTGACTCCAAAGTACTTACCTAATAGAAAATGTTAACATTTTAAGTACCAACTTCAATATCCTTAAAATACCACCTAGTCCATACCAAAAAATGGCCCAATTATTTGCACAATATATAACATGTGTGGTGAAGGACTAAGATACTTGGCAATATATTTTCAGGCATTCTCCATATCTGGAGTTCCCCCAGTAAATTTCAATGGAACATGACAAGTAATCCTGTTAACTGGATTATAGGTTATACTTATATCTAAGAGAAAAACAGACATCTATGAAACATAGTGAATAAGCTATTGAGAACATGGTGTCATGTGGTGCTGGATGAAAATTATGACATACAGTGTTAAAGTGAAAATCAAACTCACGTGCACCGAAGTGTGATATTAGCTCTTTCTCAGTCCAGTTGCATGAAGTGATGACAAACAAACCCTGTGGTTTCAGCAATTTCCATACATTTAAAATGTATTTCTCTCTCTTTCCTTTGGAGTCATGTGGATGAAGGCTTACGGCATCATATGTTCCTTTATCAAGAACAATAGCATATTCTCTGGACATTGCAGAGCCATCTAAGCTCAAAAAATTACACACCTCATATCCAATTGTGACATTTTGTTTTTTCATTATTGATTCAGCTAAATCAATAGCATTCTGAGAATAGTCTACTCCAGTAAGGTTAATGAAACCTTCACGAGCCTAAAAAAGAATTGTATTTTCACGTTGAAAGTTGTAATGATAAATTTTAACAATAATATATAGACTATTCAATTCATTTTTTTCATTTTATCACCTATTATTACCATTTCAACTAACAGCATTCCATTTCCACAACCCAAGTCAATAATTCTGTCATCTTTCTTCACTAACGCACTGGAACACAGCCATCTAGAAAGAAAATAAAAATGTGAGGTGATTAATTTATAAACTTGTATGTTGAATGGGTAAGACAAAAAATGTTTCCATACTAAATGTAAAGTTGTCCCTGATATTTATTAAAATGCCATGAAGATGTATGATGTAATAGAGGTATAGCTCCACTCTTTAACTTCTGCAGTAGATAGAGGTAAGCAGTCAGCCTCGTACCTTGGTTGCTTCACTCCCACGAAAAAGTTCCCCTGGTACCCATGATTAGATCGGACCCAGAGCCAGAGCATTTTACGGTTATGATAATGTAGGTTTTAATACCACTCTTCCTATCAATTGACATACAGGTTCTTTTGACATAAAAAGTTAAAATTAATGGTTTTAATCAAATAATTTCACCTCACAATCCTGAGACCACTGTCTTCTCCAAACCATATCTCTCCAACATCTCCATAGTCACTGAAATTTTTCTTCTCAATTAAATATGCCTCATTCCAGCTAATAGAAAAAACAAACATAAAGAATGCAGATACCATCAACATATTTAATTCATTATTTACATCTAATCTAATCTGGTATTGATAACAGGAGGTTCATCACCAGTAACAATATACCTGGTATGGGACAAGATATTGCTCCCCTTCAATTCAATCCACAGTGCAAAACACTTGGATCTACCATTTAGTTCAATAATGTGCTCACATCACAATCGTCAATCTCTAACTGGTTGTTCCAAAAGATATTCCTTAGAATAACATTTTACACATTTCTCACATATCTCTCTCATGTCATGTTTCAGCCTAGTTCATTCTTATTTTGTGATCCTAATGATATTGCTCTCATTATTATCATTTGTAGCAGACAACACAGAAAAATTTCAAACAAACTCAGATATCTACAACACAAATATAAGATAGAAGCATAACTTCCTAAGCCAAACACTGAAATCAGTAAATATCAAAAAGGATTTACTATATCAGAATAAGCAATTCAATAATCTTCCCCGCTACTATAAAAAGTCTGAATCACAATATAATGATTAAAAGAGTATCTCCTATCACACTCATTCTACTCCATAAGAGAATTTACCTCAAATAAAATACTGATCTATTACAAATACATGTAAGCAATAGTGGGTATGCTTTCTTGCGTAATTATTTTTGCTGTAATTATCGTAATAACTACATAATTTATATTTGTATTAGAAACAAGTATTATATTTGTGCTGTGGCATGTTCTACATCCTTGGCTTGGACCTATTTAGATTCTATGGAATGTAAATAAATTCTATTCTAGTAATTATTTTTGCTGTAATTATCGTAATAACTACATAATTTATATTTGTATTAGAAACAAGTATTATATTTGTGCTGTGGCATGTTCTACATCCTTGGCTTGGACCTATTTAGATTCTATGGAATGTAAATAAATTCTATTCTAGGAACAGCATACAACACACTAGCATATACAACAATAGCATATAAAACACAAAGGTCCTCAATGTAAGGATTTGAGGTTCTCACGGCAGTTAGTGCATGTTCTACATCCTTGGCTTGGACCTATTTAGATTCTATGGAATGTAAATAAATTCTATTCTAGGAACAGCATACAACACACTAGCATATACAACAATAGCATATAAAACACAAAGGTCCTCAATGTAAGGATTTGAGGTTCTCACGGCAGTTAGTATGAAGACTGCTGTCTTCTGGGTAATAGTGCAATGTAGTCTGAACTGCCCCCATCATCGTGTTGACCTGATGATGGAGGCAACAAGGACCTCTAAAACGCTGGTAAACTTCTACCAGACTAAGCAGCACAACCAAGCGTATAACCATCTTCACAAGGTCCTCATGATACTATATAACCTATGCTTTGCGGAGTCATTAAATAGACCAAGAAACACGCCTAGTAATCATAACCTCATTTATTCATAATACATGATGATGGAATATAACGTTATAATAAAATATTACGTTCCACGATTATTCTTAATGGAGATAGAACTTACTATTCTTTCATGCCCATTTCAGATGATACTAATTCTTCTGTCACCTGTTCTTCGGACATTTTACAGTGTTGGGTACAGTTACGATTTACAACCAATTGGTACCATGAACCTATCGGCTAACGTAGACGCGTCTTTTGTAAATAACAAGGTAGAAGGGAATTTCTACACAGTGTGAAGGGAAATTCTCTCCAGCATGTAACTGGCATTACCTAAAACCAAACATGGAGGTTTATTGTTTATGTTTTCTTATTCGGTGTTGATATATTCTATGTATAATTTTGTGAATGTTTTCTTGTTTATTTTCTTTAATGTGTAGGAATTAATTTGCTTTAAACGCAAGCAATGTCGGAACATGATTTACCTAGTTTAATTGCAAAGCAGCGGCAGTTACTTATAGAAGAATCCATTATATTAGATGTTCTAAAAAAAGTGAGGGATGAGATGCATAAATTACAGGTATATTTGTCAGTCCGTATAACTAACTCATCGTATTTTGTCTTAGAGGGATTGTTCAAGTAAGGGCAGATGTTGTACCCTTGCACGCAAAACAACAGGACGAATATGGAGGTCTGAGTTGCAGTACCATGTAGTCTGGTAGAAGTTTACCAAAGTTTCAGAGGTTCTTAATGCCTCCATCATCAGGCTGATACCTTATCGCCCTGATGGTGAGGTCACCAAGTATCTTTGAATAGTTGGTAAACGGCTACCAGACTACATGGCTGTACAACCCAGAAGAACCTCGAATCATACAAATGACATTATTTTATGTATGAGCAATAAACAGAGATTATACTATCCCAAATCCTCATCCAATAGTGTTTTAAACTATATTCTTTTGGTGTGTTTATCTTGAGTGCTCGTCCTTCAATTCTACAGTTAATTGTAGTCTGCCATGTGCATTAACACATGCGAATATTGGCGGTCACCTAGGGCCTGATTTGGACACTTTCCATGTCTGAACTATGAGTCTTGATCTTTTTCTATCTGTTATTATATTACCACAATTCTGCCTGAACCTAATAGTGCAGCAAGTCAGAACTCATGTGATGTCATAAGTTATTTGAAGCCAGATACTATAAAGAAGTTTATTTGTGACAACTCATTTTTGTTTCTTGCACCAGCCATTCCTGATCAATATTAATTACACTTCACTTTGCTGGCCACTGTTCAATATGCCAGACAATCAAGGATAGTACAGATATGGCTTTTGAGAGAATGGTTTATATATTGACACATGTATCTTTTTCATATGAATATTTCTTTCCTTATAGGTTGAGCAGTTGCAGCTTGACAGCATGATAATGGCAGAAGATGGAAATAAAGAAAGATATTCCAGGAAAAACGTTCCTGCACTGATGACAGACATGGATTCAACAGAGAAAGTAAATCAAGAAAAACTGGATCTGTCTGTTACTTCATCCTTGAAAAGTAAGGAAATATCTGTGCTTCATGATATTTTGCTGTTCAGCAATGCTGAACAGCATAGTTGTTCACTGCAGACATGCAATCTATTTTAAATAGAAATTAAACCTGAAGTGGAAACCAAAAGTGGAATATAAAAAGTTTGAAAATAATTAGCAGCATAAGATAAATCTTGGACATTCAACAACAGGTTGCACACCACTCTCTCATCCTGGAATTTGCAGTTGGATGTGATGTCAAATTTATATTATAACACTTTCTGAAGGAAGCACAATGGCTTAAGAACATACAGTGACTGAATTAAGAATTTATTCTGAATATAAAACTGGTACACATAGAAAGGTATGAATTTAATTTGCTGCATTTGAACTGATTTTCCCCAGAAATCAAACAAATTCTAAATTTGGTTCACGAGTTCCTTTCATCTATGTCAGCAATACATTGGAAGGGAATGTTTTGTCACTACTGCCAAAGTGCCTGTACATCTTAATTTTTCACATCCATTAAGTCAATCTTGATTGTCCTAATAATTCATAACCCAAATAAATCACTATACCAATACAACATTAACTGCAACCAATAAAGAAATGAAATTCCAACTGTTTGACAAAACTGCTGAGACATGTGCCAACTCAGCAGTGTTGCCAGTTGCTGCACAAAAATGTCAGTCCAGTTATATATCATGACCAAACTTGCCAACTCAAAATCTTCTACATCTATGCAATATGTCAACTGAATTGCTGTTGTTCATAGAATGAAGACGAGCATTACCAAGTCGACAGGCCATTCACAAGACTCCAGAAATAAGTGAACTTGTGTATGATGTGTTTGTGTTTGTCATTATGTCACAGCAATACATATGTAACACATTCTTTTGTTACAGAAATGTTGGATGGCCAGTTTCATGCAGAGCAAGAAGAGGAGGAGGAGGAAGAAGAAGAGAATTATACCGAGACTGGCATTCATGACTTTATTTTACCTTTGTAATTTTGTACTTCATAGAAAAAGATAAATGATCACGTAATACAGACATCAACTTAAAATAACAGATAAGGCATGAGCTACAGTAAAGAGACTCTATAATCAAAAGACAATCTGTTATGTGTAGTGCAAACACTTTTACTTGTAAAGGTGATGCATAATGTGTGTACTTGTACAAAGCAAACTACTTCAGAAATATTAAAAAATACCAGAAGGAACATGGTCTGTTCTGCTTACATATTTGTTCATTGAACATGAAACAATCCAAAACCATCATCCATATTTCCCCAAAAAGTGAAGGATTATTTTTTATTACAATGAAGGATACTCCTAAATATTACCATTTATATTTTCCTCATCTGCATTCCTAGAAAAGCCCAATCTGTAAATATATCGCTTGAAAAATCATCTGCATTTCTACAACCCAGTGTTTGTCTTGGCCGCCTCTTTTGGTGGTTGCTTCATCTATTTATAGACATTTGGTAGGACAGGACCCAGAGAGATGAGATCTTGTGTACATGGCATTGAACCTTTCAGTTCCATAACAAGTGAGGAATTTGACTGCTCAAGAGACTATTACCTTCTCAAGAAGGACTATGCTCCATGAACTTCATTTAGCATATAACCATCCTATAAAAGAGTGAAAGAATAATGGATCTAATGTACTGATCATTCTCTTGTAATTGTGTATTATATAAACACTTTAATTACTGAAGTAAACTGTTTTCTGAATATTATCCATTGTCCAAGACTAAATAAAATCAATATAAACGACGACATTTCGTAGATGGGAGTCTATCTCCATCTTCAGGTAAAATCAACAATGCACCGCCATAAACTTTTAGAATTGAAGTTTTATTACTGTAAGTGTATTTACAAACAATAGTAACCTGTTTCCTGCAAATAAATAAAGTGTATATAAAAAATTACAAATACAGGCTCTATTAAAAAGTTCTTACCAACAATTTAATACTCCTGTTTCTCTAATTCTGCTGCTGATAAGTCTCTCAGTATAAAAAAGAATGGTTTCCTATGCAGACAAGTTGTTCCTAAATGGGCGAGGTTTGAATGCCAGTAGCGGATAAGATCTTGCAATGTGTCCCTCTCCATAATTCTAGGGCACTGCCGCACTATGCGAACAGTCTCATCCTGCACACCAACAAAAAATATTAAACACATGTAAACATATCCACATGGTCTCTTAAACATGGTTTCAAACTCATGATTTTTTTATCCATGAAACTTAGTAAATTAAAATACCTTAATTAACTGTAGCCTTCAACTGACCACTGACCCACATACTTAAAAAATATTATTTTATGCCTGAATTGTATTAAGAAGCTCCACATCCTATTCACTTCTGTTCTGTAGCATCCAAAGATTATTAACACTATGCAATTATGATTCATGCTGCTTACAATCAAAGTGTTTTTTTATTATCTTTTAACTTATCAAAATTTGATGCTGCTGATTATGTTGCATGGCAAATACTCAGAACACGATTTGATAATGGACATCACAAAGAATAATTTAGAGCCTTAACTGTCACATTCAAACACATATGCCAGTTTTAATTAAGGCTCTAGAAGTATAGTGAATAATCATCAGTTAAGAACTTTTATGTATTATGTACTGCACAGGATTTTGTTCCTCAAGCAGTGCACTTAATTTAAACAAAATACAAACCCTGATATAACAAATCACCCTCTGTGACCTGCACTTCTCCAAAGAACTGAAGCCATTTTTCTTGATCAACTCCAACACATCCTTCAAGTCATTTATTCCATAAAAACTGATGGTACTTGCTATTTCTGTCAGCATGCAAGATGGTCTTCCTGATCCTGAAAAAATATGTGGTACAGTGGTCCCTCAGCTAACAATAACGGGTTCCGTGAAAACCGTGGTTAACTAAAATTGTTGTTAACACAATACAGGAAATATGAGATAGGAAAAAAATTAAATTGGGGGCATATTGTTAATCTGAAATTTATTGCTAACAGAAACAATAGGAGGCAGATTATAAATTGGAATATTGTTAACCAATGGCATTGTAAAGCAAGGGACCACTATATTTCATTCTAATCAGTGATATCACAGACATACATTTCAAGCACACACTTTGAATTCCAAAAATGTTTTAAGGTCAAATTCATACAATATTTGAGGGCCATTTTTACAATGGCAAGTGTTGCTTTGATCTTACATGTTTACCTGCCTGTCATGTTGGATTCCTTTCGGCTGAAAATTAAGCATTTATCAAAGACTAATGGCACATAATGGCATGACAGTTACTACTGAAAGGTTACAAATGAGTTCAACAAGTGTCATGGGCATACACATATGTGATCCCATAAGCAAAGATGCTTATTCTAGATAAAACTTAAAAAAGAAACATCTTTCATCAACAGACAGAAATTCAGTAACCTCTATATTCCTTCATCCTGCTATCCAATCATCTATGTACATCAACCTACACGTACTGTCTTCCTAACCACTTGATGAATTCTGATTAAATCCATAGCTCTTACCTTCATTTAACTCAATTCTAAAACCATTTTTTGAGATGACATCACAGGAGATAATGACCACACTTTTAATTACATCATATGTTTTGCTTAATGACAGCAAAATTTTCCACAATTCTGGACCCAGAGTGCTGAAGAAAAGAAAAAACTTACATTAGAAAATATTCAATCTTTCTAGTCTTCTTGCCACTATTTTGTTTTCAGCTTCAATACTAATTTTATCTAATTTTTTAACATGCTACCACTATGAAAATTATTATAATACAATAATAATGATAATACTTATATACAAATATATCAAGTTCAGCAATTTCCTGCTATAAAATTTATCCCAAAATAACAACTTACTAAATATATCTTAACAGAAGTATTATTCTAGATGGACAGCATGGTTTTTGAAAGACAGTACATAGCCTGTGATGTAACTGAATTAACCTTTATTGACCACGTATCATGGCTTACAAGCTAGCCATACATTACAGAAGCCCTCTGACGTTTCTTAAGTTAAGTACCTCTCAACAATAGGGATGGCAGAGTCCAGCTTCTTCAGAGGAAGGCTGTGATCCAGCATTAATCTATGATAGACAACTGTTTCTTGCAAGCCCCAGTGTCGCACTACACCTAGTTCATTCTCTTTCTTGTACAACCAAGTCCCACTCGGATGAAGTTGCCCTATTAGAATAGGAACTGTCCCACTGCAGATACAATATGTATTAAGTAAATAAAGAGAAAATATTTTGTATGAAAGCAGTTCATACCTTAGCTGTTTCCTGTACAGAAACATTGTAACAATTCCTATCTTTGTGTAAACTTTCATGACTTCAAATGAAACTGAATTGGTATAAGTTTACTACCCTTATCATGGAGGCAGTAAACTTCAACTGTGCTATATGACACAACTCTCTAAAAGACAGTCATTTTAAAGTTCTATTTTGTTTCCAATACTCACCCTAAGACCGTATGTACTGGAATGCCACTTTCCTTTATTTTCATTAATGATACATCCAGAGCCACCTCTTTTCTGTACGGTCTTTGCCAAATCTTCTTAGTAACATTTTTAGGTGACACACCTTTACTCATGAACCCCTTGATACTGCTCGCCAGTGTTCCACTAATACTGCCAGCATTACCCTTGCCTTTGTTACACGTTTCTTTTGCCAGCTTCTCATACATGATGCGTTCTTCAGCTGAAAGTGACCGCCATCGCTCCACAAGGATCTCAGAAACTTTGGTGAATGCAATACCAGGGAACTCCTGTAAGACTGAAATTGACTGATAGCAGTCAGTTAATTGGACCAAGCATAAGTGAAACAAATTAAAGTTAATTCAAAATCATTATAATCTTAAGTATGTAAGATATGATATACATAGATAAGACATGAATGTGATGATGCTATTGTGGATTCTCAAGTAGAAGTAGGTAGTACTGCCAACATTTTGCAGACCTTTACTGTCTTCACCTTCCAAGCCCAAGACTATGAGTAATATTCGGCTTGTATCCAGTGCCTGCAAGTATGGTCTATAATGACCTTCTTGGCTTCTGCCCACCTAGGCACAATACTCTTGTGGAGAGGGAACAAAGATTACAGAATCTAATATACAGCACAGTTTCTGGTCAGCTGAGGGGACCCACAGCTTAACATGAACTATACTAATGTTCTTTGCACTCCCAAGTTAACTTTTAACAAAGGTAAAGGTTTCAGTCTGTAAGTAGAAAAATCCACATACAGATGTGACCAGGAATCAAATCTAGAACCATCTGAACAAGAGTCCACTGTATGATCCTGAGACTCCCAGAGCACATTTAGTAATATGCTAGTCTTTAAACTAAGTGGGTATAAACACCCCACCAAAAATCCGAGATACAGGACAAACCCTTGCTGCTTGTCTGCAGCTATTTATTCAGTAATTCTATAGAGTGGTCATGTTCTGAGCACTGGTGATTAAAGAACTATAACAAGACCATGAAGTGACTCCATCAAGATAGTTGGCTAGGTGCCCTGTAATGCAATGTAAATCAACTGGACATCAGGCAGATGGCAAGGCAATTGCAGGAGCCTCGGCAAAATTTGTGAAAGCTCATACTAAACAGGTTTTACTAGGCAAGTGGTAATCTTGAAACTGGTGAGGTTTATGGAAGTATCATATATGATATGACAAGTGTATTTTATAGATATCAACAACTTCTATTGGCTCATTAAAATCTTGTGTGGGTATACCATACCAAATCAATCAAATCAAACCTGTAGTATGGGTACCATTACGTGTGGACAAGCAGGCAAACATGACAATATTCATCGGTGCTTTTCAAACTTATTTTTCAAAATGTGGTGAGTCTCAGTATAAGTTGACTGACTTACTGAGTTTCATAGCTTACACTGTATTAATTCACAAGTTAGTCAGAAACTACAAGCAAAAACACACATTCTCAAAGTCAGCTTCTGAACTTGTAACATTCTCAAAGAAATGTTACCTTTGGGACGTTCGTGCCTTGCAAACTTAGTGAAGGCACTTTGCTCCTTACAGCCCATTTGACTGCTCACACTATGGTATGAAGAGTTGAGAATTTCAGCCGACTTTTGAGTGGTAGCTGCTTTTCGTAGCAATACTGAAGAACCCTGCAAAAATCAGGAAAATTACAAATTAAGTCAGTCATAAGAGAAGCAAAGTAGCTGTTACAAGATTTAGCAGAAACATACAAACAAATTACTATATTTATTAACACTTATTTAGATTTTAGTAGTTATCATTAAATGTTCAGCCACTCAATAACTGTGAAATTTCTTAAACGCACTGACAATGAAATTAAAATTTAACTTACTACAGCATACGTTCACACCACCCGCGCAAAAAACACTCATTGAAGGAATAATGAAATATACTAAATTAACCAACAGAATCATACCTGCAACACATTTCCATTTGGTGCCTTCACTTGACCTTTACTCCACTTTTCCATTGCTAAATCAGCAGCTTCCCACATGTCCTCATCCGAAGCTGGCTGAGGAATTCTTGTGACATTTGTAAGATCTGAAACTAAATTGCCCGTTGAACACACCTGCTTATCTGAATCAGTCTTTCCAAAATTTTGGTTCAAAGAACTTCTGTCTTGCAATATTAAAACTGTATTACAGCTGCTTGATGAAAGTTCAATTTGTTTATTTGAATATGAACTAAGATCGCCTCCCTTGGTCACATCTTTAAGATCACTTTGCAGTGGTTTTTCATTAATATTCGCAATGCATGTGTGTGTTTCTTGCATTACACTGCTTACTGAATCAGCCTTGTTTAATGTCTCAGTACTGGAGTTACGACTTCTTACCGCGCCCATACCACATACTACTTCATCTCCGCAATTTGTTAATTTAAAGTCTGCAGCCACTGACGGAGGACCAAAACCACCTTCATACATTCTATTTGAGACCATTTGCAGTTCATTACAATCAAGGTGTGAGATATTTTGTACGCTCTGTTCATCACAGTTTGTTTCAAGCACACTTTCTCTACTGGCAAACCTACTGTCACAGTACTGATTACTGTAAGTACACATATTTTTCGTTACAGTCCATCCTTTACTGGCATTTGTTGTGAACATTTCATCATGAACTACATTTTCAAATATATTGCCATCAACAAATAAGTCTCTTTCTTCATATGAGACATTTTCTATTAATTCAGTTCCTGCTG